AAAGAATGACATTTATCCCTCTTACGTAATTTCCCTATTTGTCTGGATTGAAATTTGTCCAAGGCAGGGCTTGTTCTGCTAGTCTCTGTATTTGCCCAAATGCTGGGTGTTTAATAGGGACCAGAGAGGAATCTAATTTCCTCTCTGTGGGAAAAAGACCACAGCTTCTGCATCCTACCTTGTGGCGGTTTTCACATTCAGAGTCTGGGTGGGTTTGTAAGGCTGGCCACAGCTGGGGCTTGGGTCCAAGCTGGGTGACTTTGTAATGGGAGGGGCATTGATCCGGGAGCTCAGATCGCCACTCAGAAAGTTCTTTGCGTAAGAGGCGAGGTTTGGCACACTGACCACTCGGCTGGGCACTTCCTCCATCATCTTTTTCTGCTTGTAGTAAAGAAAAAGCCTGTTAGTACCACCAAAAAGAGGCATTATAAAAGTAAATAAGGCCTACCCAACCAAACAAGACAATTTTATTTATATACTTGTTTTTTTTTTTAAAGCATCTTTTCTTCTGAACTCTGTTTTAAAAAACACACAGGTTCATAATCTTGTATAAAACTTCCAGGGATAGATGTGTTTTGTAATTGAAAATCTTTTAAGATTTTAGAAGGCCATGTAACACCCCCAGAAGGGGCTGGACCCAACTTGTCCTCAAAAACATTCCTGCAGTGAAACATTTTATCACCCTCAGAAGGATATATGAAAATTATAAATGAGCTCACATCAGTTCACCTTAGGTTTATTGCTCTGTGAACTATAAAAAAAAATAGTAATTTTAGGATTTTGTGATCCCTGCTAAGAGATTTGGATGTCAATATTTTCATTGCAGAAAAATCCCAAAAATATGTAAGGAAAAAACAAAGTGAAAGATTCCTGCTCTTATCTCTCACCTTCCTATCACCAGGTATAGCCATTATTAATAGTGATATGTTTATTTTATAGGAAATTTGGAAATACAAAACTTATTTAATTAAAAATACACACAAATCTAGTTAGATATGCATATTGTTTGTTAATAATTTGGGCTATTTTCTGTCAGTCTCATTTTCAATGAATATTCCTCTGGATGTATGCCAGCCCATATATAAATAAGCTACAGTTAACCTAGGAATAATGAAACCAGCAGAACTGTGTAATGTATTGAAACCAGTAGAACCAATTTACCTTCATGGAAGGGGTCAAATATCCCGGGTGAGGATTGAAGGAGAAGGACCTATTCCGATGGGACACTGCACTGGGGAACGCTGCATAGTGAAATCTTCTCTCCTCCTGAAAAA